AAAAACAAGGTTAACATGAAAGCATTGCCAGACCCTAACTTGACAGGTTACAGGCAAGGTGGGAAACCTACAGAAATAAATGCATGGAGGAAAGTAACCAGGAAACTGGAGGTCAATCAACCAGACATCTGCCTCCATGTGGGTTTGATTTGCACTTGAAGTTCTGTGATGGAAATGGGAATTTCAGCTTGGCTTAGGTGTAGATTCTGGTGGTGTCACCAGGTGTGTTCTCTAGCATGTATGAGTTGAGGATTCATGTACAAAATGATGTGTCTCTTGAGGTAATTCCTAGACAAGGAAGGACAATGGACTTAGGGCCATGAAGCAACTTCAAAACAAGCTGAAGTTGACTCTCTAGGGTGGCGATTCTCCAAACCGTAGGTCATAATCACCACAGAGGTCACATATCAGATATTCTGATAGTTACATTATGATTCATAACAGTAGAAAATTACCATTATAAAGCAGCAATGAAAATAATTTTATGGTTGGGGTCACCACAACACGAGGAACTGTATTAAAGGGTGGCAGCATTAGGAAAGCTGAGAACCACTGCTCTAGGATTCCTGAAGGTAGACTAATCAATCCCACAGAGATGATAATGAGGGAGATTTTAGCCAAGGCATGGGTCTTCAGTCAAGGACCTCTGTGAGAGCTGACCATGGAGGACTGCCTTTCTGTGGCATTCCCTTTGACTGGAGTAACATCTTTTATTCCTAAGAAATTTTCTCTTTAAAGAAAGAAGCAACAGTGAATTAACTCATAGCCACCATTTAACAGGCATTTGTACTGTGCCAAGATAAACTGTTTCTAGCAACAAACCCAAGAGACAAGCATTATTAATATGTCCACTCTATGGGTTAGTATACTGAATTCAGGGGTTAATTAACTTGCCCAGATCCACCCCAAAATTAAACAATAGATCTAGGTCCAGTACCTGAGTCCTTATCCTAAATGTCTCTAGTAAAGTTATTATTGATTGATTGATTGATTGATTGATTGATTATTGTGTAATCTATTTTGCAGTGCTGGGGTTGAAACTTGTAAGGTCTTTTTCATGAGAAGCTATTCTCAAATGAACAACACCATTTCGAAAGGAAGGCAATGGCAGTCGATTTACACACACATGTACTTTTCTGTTTAGTAGATTATGGCCACTGATTTAATGATGCTCCCATTTCTTAGCCTGACACCATGGAGGTTAGGTCTCAACAAGACTGACATCTGGCCCCCTAAGCCATTATGCTTTGTTACAGAGCCGAGCAAACGTGTATGTCGCCCACACACCTGCCGGAACATCTGTACAGAATATTCTCCACTGGAGCCAGGTAAGAATGACCAGCTTGCAGCCTGGATGAGGATCCTTATGTCTGTACCAGTCACACAGCCTGACAGTTTCTGTTTATCCTGAGTTAGAATCCGGCCACTGATACTAGAATGTGAACTTACTTGAAATTTCCAGTGACAGGAGGCAAGGGCAGAAAGTGACTTAAGCCTGTCTTTACTACCTCTTGAGTATAGCCCAATTCAAATGAGACCCTTCTCTGTCTGGAGTCAGAGTCCCAAAGGATGATGAAGGAAATTATGTTTCTGCCAGTCCTTACTGGCTGTTTTAGCATCCCAGTCAAGCCAGAACAGAAATGTTCTGTTCAGGTGGGCCAAACTGTAGAATGAAGTTTTCACAAGACATCTTGGTGTTGTAAGCCTTAAAGTCTCAGGAGAGAAGTGTGTGTGTGTGTGTCTGTGTGTGTGTGTGTTTGTGAGAGAGAGAGAGAGAGAGAGAGAGAGAGAAAGAATGAGAGAGAGAGAGAGAGAGGAGGAGGAGGAGGAAGGAGGGAGGTAGGGAGGGAAGGAGGAGAGAGACAGAGGAGGTCAGTAGAGAAGCTATGGGCACCATCTCCCATGAGTATGGCATTGCACAGGTGCAGTGAGCAGCCCTATCTTGGCATCTGGAATTCTACCAAACACCCAGCCACACTGACACACCACAGATGCACTTCCTGCAGTAGATGCAACGGCAAAGCTCAGCTATTTCTTGCTAAAAGAGCCAGATTGATGCCCTGCACTCTTCTAAAAGGACCCCCCAGAGTGGAATGAGAGAATAACCCAAAGACCTTTGTTCTCTGCTTTTCTCACAACCAAAGATGGGGTGTGCATTTGATTACCCCATCTCTCCCTTTAAATACCTTTTTTTTTCCGTTCTAGGCAGTGAATTCTGGTGAACTTCGTGCCTTTGACTGGGGAAGTGAGACCAAAAACCTGGAGAAATGCAATCAAGTAAGACTGTCAAGTACCACCTGCTAAAAATACATCACCCTTCAGAAATGTGTGAGAAGGGAGTTATAGTGCTATTTGACCCCAGAGGGAGTAATAAAATACAGAGATTCAAGCAGGGAAGATGATACTTCAAAGTCTAACTGCATCTGAAAATAGGAAAGTACACGGCTTAGCCAGCAGCCTCGTTATTTCTGCAAGAAGTAGGAGGCCTGTGTCATTGAGCCTGTCCCAAGAGCAATGCACCAGGGCTTCTTGGGAGAAAAAGGGGTCCAGTTAGTCAAGGATGAGAGATCCTTTTAGGACAAAGACAAACATGCTCACAGAGATGTGCTGATGATGTGGCACACTAAAAAGAGCCTGAAGCAGTAGATGGAGATTCCTGTTTGCCATGGCTCTGTACCTCTAGCCTGTGAATTGTAGGTAGGCTTCCACAATTCAGGGCTTACTCATGGTATCCTTAAGCTGCCTTTCAGACTAGGGAGATATTCCATGGGTAAGTAAGACTATGTGGTGTGCAAACATGAGGATGTGAGTCCCTCACAGCTCTTACATTAAAAACCAGGCATGGCCAAGCATGTCTATAACCTCAATGCTGGAGATTGGGTGTAGAAGACAGGAGGATTGCTGGGGCTTACTGACCAGGCAGATTCAGTGAGAGCCCTGTCTCAAGGGGTCAGAACAAACAGTGATAGACAAGCGACCCCATGTCCTCTTTGGCCCCCATCCATGTACATGGTGTCTCACAGTTTGTGCACCTCTACACACATATGCACACATAGATACACCATACACACACACACACACACACTCACACACACACACACACACACACACACACACACACGTGCACACGTGCACACATGCACTTATACTTTCTGATCATGCTTTTAATTAATATAATTTTCAAGCTAAAATACAAAAAGAAACCCACACAAACAGTATTATAGTATCAGGAGTACGAAATAGAAATGTGGAGAATCACAATTGTAAAGGATGCTCTTTTGAGTGCAAAACTCTCACTGAAGATTGCTGGTTATCATGAATGTAGATAATAGAGATAAGTCATACAGATTGAGGTCTCACATTGTACTTAACATCCAGTGCAGTAATCCACCTAGACATATAATGTTGGGTGAACTACGTGGTTGCCCTTAGATACCAAACTTAGTCACATTTTTCAACTATCTCTTTTGATATCTCCCTTGACTGTCTTCAAACCCATGACTTTAGAAAGAACATTCAGGTTCTAAGATGTTTTTCATCTATGAGGATTTTGTGGGCTGAGTTGGTGAACGCAGACTAGGCATGAGAAAATGGCAATGAAGGGAAGAAAAACAAATGTATGGGAAGATGCTATATAGAGTGTCAGCTAGTGCTAGGTGGGGCATTTAGCTCAAAATGGAGCATTGCTCACACCAGAGTGTCCTTCTGCTCTGCATCTAAATTAGGCAGCCACTTCAGTTCTTATGGGGCCAGGAAGACAAGGAAGATATCTAGGATTAAAGCTCTGTCTTGCTCTTGATTTCATGCTAAGAAACTGGCCTCTCTGGTTCTATGAAAATTTCTGAGTGTTGACTGATTTCAGGGACTCAAACTGCCTGGAAAATCTACCAGCATTGCAGCAGGGAACAGAAGTTCCTTGGATAGAGAGGACTTCTTTGCATGATTTAGGGGGAAGCTGAGTGTGAGGTTGGGACAGGTATTACCTTTGTCCTCCTTAGTTTAGAGTAGCTGAATGCCTGAGTTTGATTTGGAGTTTCTCCTGGTTCGGTGAGTTCAGTGAAGCTGAACCCCCACTGTGTCCATTGGGGATACACTGGCCTTGGTAATAGGTTCCCTTGTCTTTCCTGTGGAGTGTCTCCAATTCTTGTACCATAAACTATAACTAACAAGGACATTATTTAAAAGGGAATTTACGTATGAAATGTTTAATAAGAAAAATACAGATGATTCAATGTCTAAAGTAAAACATAGGGACTGTAAGACAGCTTAGTGTAGAATTTGTGTTCAGCATCCTTAAGGCCCTGGGTTAAATCCCTATGTACACACACACACACACACACACACACACACACACACACACACACACACAATTAATTTGTATGCCTTCTCACAGGATCTAGTAAGGTGTTAAAGCTATTATCTCCATTTCACATGGTGAAACTAAAATTGAATCACAGTAAGTACGTTTTCCTTAAAATTGAACCTGGAATAGAAATTCTTAACATAGTTCTACATGACTCTAACCCCTATAAACACTTTTGATCACAACCCAGGACATGTGCATTATGTTTGCTTGAAGTAGAAGTTGTAAATTTAGATGTTAAAAATATTATGTGAAGTTTAAACATTCTCTTTATCTAGCCAACTCCTATAAGGTACAAAGTCCGTGATATGACGGTGCCCACAGCAATGTGGACTGGAGGTCAAGACTGGCTTTCAAATCCAGATGATGTAAAGACCCTGCTTTCTGAAGTGAGCAACCTCATCTACCACAAGAACATCCCTGAGTGGGCTCACGTGGATTTCATCTGGGGTCTGGATGCCCCTCACCGAGTGTACAATGAAATCATACACCTGATGAAGCTGGAGCCCAACCTTTCCCAGGGAACCTGCAAGGTCACATTGTGAAGCTCCTGCTGTCAGCAAGTCCTGGAATAAGATCACACAGTATGGGCAGGACCACAGAAAGATGGTTTTCAAAGTAATTTCTAGACTTGGAAACGTGGTGTATCAGTTAAACAGAAGGACAGAGATGATTGGGGAATGCCAGAAGGTCTGCTGGTCCAAATGGAAGTTTCAGGTTTCTTCATTTGACACTAAAGCTGATACTTACACTTTTTTTCCACGAGGTTAAGCTGAGTTGATGAACATAGGTTTCCTGCTTAGGATCTCTTACCATCTTGCTGTGTAGTTATGACTTGACCAACAGAAAGTATCTAGACATTCATTATATCATTCACCCTTTCCAAACTCATTTTTGTTTCTTTAAGTTAAATTTTGGAGCAGTAAAGTAAAAGGAAGATTTTACTTTACTGGGACAGAGATTAAATTGTAAATCTTTGGACTATTGACTTGGATAAAATGAACTGGACATTGCCATCTTATTGCTATAAAGACAGGATACTGCTTCAGGAAGCCAAGCTATTTGGACAACAACAGAAAAATGAAATTATGGTGTAGGTAGAATCTAAGCTAAACAACCTTAGAACAAAGTTCATTGCTGAATTTCAAAGATATTTTGTAGGGTATTTATGAGTTTTTCAATAAATTATGTATCTCATATAGCATATCTGTGTGTCAGCACTGAGATTTTCAGCTGCTGAAAATGAAAGCTATGAAGAAACTTTTGTAATGTCACAAAGAGCATGAAGTAAATTGCTGTATATTTTATCTTTTAATCAAAGAAGAATCATTCAAATTAATCTCCTAACTCATTCATAAATCTATATTTAAGTCCTTAGAAAACTCTTTAATTTTTACACAGTTTCAAAAATGACAAGTTGTAAATTTTGAATATTATTTGGCAGTCTTCTCAGAAGACAAATCAAAGCTCTACTGTGCCTGCCAGAGGCACCTGTTGAGAATAGATGGGTGTCTGTTGAACATATCTTAGACTGTGAATTTCATCTGTCCTACCCAGGGTTACCTGGTAACTTAGTCCAATGTAAGTGGATCTTATATAAGTTCCTTAGAGACTTGAAGGTCCTATGTGTACCCTCAGGGTCTGTACATAGCTCTGTAAACATTTCCAGATTGGATTTTCATTGATACTTTTTGCATTCAAGGAAAGCAAACCTTTCATTATTAACTGTTTTGGCTTTCATTATTAACTGTGTGTAGCATGGCTTAGTCCATGTCTACAGCTGTACGTGGATCATCCGGGTTTTCAAAAGTCACTCATAAGGCAGATTTATTTCCATTCAGTGTCATTCACATAAGAAGTAAGACTCATAGTTTGGTATTTATAACTTCTCACATTCATAACCCAAATACTTCTCTTTTTCTATGAAGAAGCAATACCTTTAAAGAAATCAGTTATACTATTTCAAATTTTTCAAAACTAAACAAAACTGGGGCTGAGAGTGATAGATGACACACTTGGTGTGAATTCCCAATGCCACAAAAAAAAGGAAAATAGATAAATAAATAGCAGCTAATGTGTGCACAGGAAAATTCTTTATTTCTGGTGTTGGGGATTAAACTCAAGGTTTTATGCATAGCAAACACATGCTGTACCATGGACCTACAGCTTCAGCCCCATAGGGACTCTGTACAGACAGTTTTGATACTTACATAACTTATAAACTGAAAAGGCACTTACTTATAAACTGATGGTGAAATGGATGCTGATATGGAGGTCAGTCAGCTCCTGAGAAACAACAAAAACCAGTTCTGCCATGGAACATGTGCCAATTTCTATGGTTTAGACAAACTGATAGCTGACAACTGGCAGATGTGTTTATTGAAGATTTTCTTTTTGTAAGATTTATTTATTATATATACAGCATTCTGTCTGCATATGTGCCTGCAGGCCAGAAGAGAGCACCAGATTTCAGTACAGATGGTTGTGAGCCACCATGTGGTTGCTGGGAATTGAACTCAGGACCTCTGGAAGAGCAGTCAATGTTCTTAACCTCTGAGCCTTCTCTCCAGCCCCCTTACTGAAGATTTTAAATCAAAGGAATATTTATGTTGACGTCTCTAACTTCCCATACATATGTGCCATGCCATTCAAATGCACACGCTCTGATTGCTTGGCTTAGTATGTCAAGGGGCCTGTGAGAAGCCATTTGTCTCCCTGGACAGGATGTAGGGCAAAGTTGTCTTGAAGGATGACACAACTGGGAAGAGAGAAGGTGAACTCAGGTAGCTCTGACTTGTTTTTAGAAGACACTGAATTAGAACTTTTTAAAAATCAGTTTTAACAGTAATAGAGGTTCCAACAAGCTTAATGGGTCCTTCGGAGGGATTCTGGCCATGCTGACTTCCCCTGAATAAAAGCCTTTTGAAGTCCAGGGCTTGTCACAATACTGATGCATCCAGCTTGAGAGCTCACATAGCAATCACCCAAGACAGGGACAACATCTAGTTCTTCAGCTGTGTCTCTGTTGCAACATGAGAAGTCCCAGAACTATGAGGCTTTCTTTAGCATTGATACAATCTGGGAAAACTTTAGTCTCTGTGCAATATCCAGTGAACTCTCACCATGCTGCAGGAAAAACAAATTATTTACTTTCAGGAAAAACAGATGTCAATGAGGACTAGTCAGCAGGTTAGACAGAGTGTTGACTCTCACACTTTGTGGAGGCTTCAGACAGCCTCCTGTTCAAATACATTCATACATATATACATACATACATACATACATACATACATACATACATACATACATACATACATAGCCAAAAAAAAAGTAACCGACTGGAAGACATTCAGTGCCCTACCTATACAGCTGAATGAGACTCTGTCTCAAAATTTACAAAGCAAAAGGGCACTGGAGATGTGGCCCAGTTGTAGAGCACTTGCCCAGCATATTAAACATTCAGTGTTTAATACCAAATGTGGAAAGTATTGATATTTTTTTTTAATTTCAAAACTAGAACTAGTGCTATCTTTCCTTCATTGAGAGGAGCAATTAATTTACTGTGACTCATAGGAGAGACAGTGAACTCACTTGTACAAGAGGCCCAGATGAGAAAAGCTTGCCCCAGGGAGGAGCACAGTTGCTAGGCTCTTACCTTGTTCCTGATCATGGGGTCTGCACGGGCTTTCAGAAGCAGGGGGATGAGCGTCTGGTTTTTCATTTGGCACGCATAATGCAAAGCAGTGTAGCCATACTGAAACACAGAGAACTGACCTTGTAGCTCATCAGCCAGGTTGTCCGCAGACTTCAGCTCTCCCTTCTAGAGCAACTGTTCACATTTGCTAGTGGACAAATAACCAACGCCAATCTTCTAGACAACTAGCAACTGTATTTCTTGCGCTATCTTCCTCATTATGTATATGAAAATCCAATAAGACATTGAACTACTTCCCTTTCTCATTTTCTATTCTAAACTAAAATGCACATTATAAAAATATATTAAACTCATCTTCATTTAAATACAAATAAAATATAATATTAAATGATGTAAATAATTAATAGAAACAAGAATGAAGTGGACACTTATCACAGAACAATGGTAATACCCAGAGAATAAGTTAGGCAACACAAATAGGAGCTCAATTCTTTTTAAACCAAATTTCAACTTGCCCTTTTTGCTAAAATATTGAAAATCAAAAATTTTATCTAACCAATATAAGAAAATTAAGCGATGGGATAATAAATTTTCAGCTGACCCTGAGCATCAGCCGCTGAAGTAAATCTGGAATAAAGGTGAAAACAAACTCTTCCACTGCCTTATGGGAAGGAGGGAGCTGATGGTGCTTTGGGTATCATGGCTTCTATCAACACTGGGGTTTTTCTCTCAACTTTGACCTCATCTCCCTTCCATTTATAAAAGAGACATCTCTTCTAGTGATTGGGATCATGAATGCAGCAGCTGTTAACATTCAATGAGCACTGACTACATTCTAATCTCTTCTGAGGATTTTGCCAGAACCTGCCCTATAAGGTCAGTACTAATTTCCAACTTATATCTATGCATGTTGGGCAGGTGTGTAATACCAGATATTCATGGGGCTAAAGCCAAAGGGTCACAAGCTCAAGGCCAGCCTGAATAACTTAAGGAAAGGTTGTCTCATAACAACAAATAAGCAAGACAAATTTAAGGAGGATATGTATAGCTCAGTGGTAGAGCATTTACGTAGCTTGTATCATGTTTTCCGTTCAGACTCCATCACAATTAGTTTTTTAATCTCCATTTTATAGATGAGAAAATTGAGCCCAGATATGTTTATAGTGTTCCAAGCCCATTTAACTAAAAAGTGGCAAGATTAAATGTACAAATAGGAATTCTACCTAAACTTCAGCTGCCAAACTGCTAATGATAGTATTTTAGCATCATTTTCCTTAATGGATCACTATAATCAAAAGGAAATTATTTTAAAATTTTCCTACAATAAACAAATATTGTATGCTCATGAGTTTAACAGAAGAATATCTATTACTTCAATGATGACAATGAGAAAAAAGCAAAACTCTATGTAAACATCTAGAAAAATAAAGCATGGAACGTTGTCAACAGCAAGTATTCTACCCAAGTATATCATTTGAGGATTATTTCAAAATTCAAACATACACAGTCAGTAGCATTAACCTCGACGCCAGCATCAAGGAGCATGCGCACAAGATTCTCGTTCTGCTTCGTCTTTGATACCTGTTACAAGCAACAATTATAAGAACGTGTTACACAAACATTTTGTACTTCTTGCTTGGGACTGTTCCAATCAATTGGCTACATGGTAATCCTATGCTCCTACTTCTTAGCACACACACACACACACACACACACACACACACACTCTCTCTCTCTCCTCTCTCTCTCTCTCTCTCTCTCTCTCTACAGTATCAGTCAAACCATAGTACTCAAGCTGTGTTTCAAGAACATAAGCTTCATCACCCAGGAATTTGTTCAGAATGCATATTCAAAGGCCTAACCCCATTTCCACGACATCTTATGAGAATGAGATCTAGTTCCTGTCTTTCCCTTGCTAGCTCAAAAGTTTCATCAATTCCCGTATATCTTGCGTGTCCTTAGAGCATATGGCCTTTTTGCATGCTTTACCTCCTGGCTCCCCTACTCAAGTTACAATGGATTTTGTTAAGTCTTTATTTCCTACTAGGTGCTCTCTCTGCAGAGAAACATGTCATAGGATATTTCTTCAACTGGAAGTTTTCTTTGCCTAGACATTTGTTTGTGATATTCCCAATCCATGTCCATTTTCTGTGGCTTTCCCTGGCCTACTCGGCCAGGTGAAATATTTTTCTTCTGGACTTTGTAAAGGCCCGTATCCTCTGTGTCCCCAGATTTGTGGTAATTTCCCACAAGTCCATGTCATTTGATAGCAACCAACTTCCCACCATGCTGTACCTGATGGGGGCAAAGACTGACCTTACTTTTCCCTAACATCTGACCTGCACATAAGGGGGTCCAAGATAAACGTATGGTGAAGGGCAGGAGTCAATGGCACAAGGTGGAGCTCCTCAGAATGTGCTTTCTGTCTCTCTCTAGCCTCTTAAGTATGATTCTGTCCACACTACAGTGGGAACCTTCCTCCAAGCCGCTCACCTGAGGAGACAAAGACCTCCTCTCACAGAAGCCAGGCCTAGCAGTTTTCCCATTCAACCTCTGAAATGCCACTTGGGTGTCTTCCTCACCACGCTTTCCCCTGTGTCACCTTCTAAATTCTTTCTGCCCTGGCCCTTCTCTGAAGTGACTTAGTCATTTCTAGTCCTCTCCCCTGTAATTCATGCCATGCTACCTCTTCCTTGTGTATCATAAACTTTAACCATGCCAGGTCCCACTAACAGTGTAGGTATGCAGTTATAGCAGGGCTACTGGTTACAGTCAGTATCTTTACCTAGACCTCCAACTTCTGAGCCTTGTTTGAAAGAAGAGCTGTGTGACAGTGAATTCTGAACAAGCCTTAGTCATCATCTTGGAATGCATTTTTTCAAAATCTCTAAAATGTTTAAGTGAATATCAGATTCTTTGTGCCCAGAAATTACAAATGTTCAAATAATGTGAGATAAAGACACACACAATTTTTTTAAAAAAGTCTTCAAAGATGTGTGTTCAAATGGTGTGTTCAGAATTGAATTAAAGAATTCTCAATACACTCCTTAAATTCTGTATCCTTTAGGTACCTAAGTAGAAAATAGCATTTTTAACTGGCAGAATTTGTACTGAACTTGTGTTAACAGGAATAACTATTGTCAGCTAGCAACATAAAGGAAGTAACATAGCAATTTACTTAACTTGGGTAAGTGTTGCACTGTTTTTGTCACCTCTCAACAGTGGGACAAACCTCAGCCAGTGTTTCTGAGACTCTTGTGCGGCTAGGTGATGGAGGTGAATTATAGCTCCCAGTGTGACCAACCGGTCAATGCTGTATGTTTATTCTAGAAGGTACTGTGGAGCTAAGACATGGCATTTGACAGGCTGCATAAAGCAAATGCATTTCTACCTACAACATTTTCATTTATGAGAGGTTCATTGAGATAGGACCCCACTGTAAGTCAAGAAACACCTGCACAAACCAAAGGTTTATTTTTATGGTCATTTCTTTACATCACACTGCCAGGGAAAACCCAATGAGTCACTCCATGGCTCTCTTACACATCTACCCTTTGCCCTAGCAACAGTACTCACCATGAGGAAATACCCAATAAGCAAGACAGGCATTAAAAGGATAATGAGTAGATAATCAAAAAAGGTAAACCTCTTCTTCACAGCATAGTGCAAGCAGGTTCTCTCCTTCTATAATTAAGAAAAGGATTCTTTAGCTTATATTCCATAGGTTTTAGATTACCATAACAAAATATTTAGTTTATCCTCTTTTTTTCTTTTTCATTTCTAAGGTACCCATTTGAAGTAGTACAGAGTTATTGACATTACCTTTAGGTCTCTTAAATAAACATATGTAGAATTTTAAAATGTAGGACTATACTGCATATTCAAAACCATATACTGCATATGCATTTTCAGTCTAAGTACCTCCTTTTATGATACACATCTGATTAGTTAACTCAGAGCTTTGCTCACTAGAATGTTGAACTTGTACACTATGGAGGAAACACTAGGGAAGGAGCAAAAATACACAATAGAGATACAAACCATCACAGAAAAAATCCTCATGCCTGTTTTGGTTTTTGAGATAAGATAGACAGACAGACAGACAGACATAGAGGAATGAAGTCAGCATGAAAAGACACATGGATATAGGCAGCCCTTGGTCATTGGTTGGGTTCTGAATGTGGTCACATGCCTCCTTGTTGACCCACTCTGGAGTCTTAATAATTTTTATTGGACTCTTGGATCTAATCACACCCCTAAGTGTGACCTTTGAGAGAGCCAGTGCCATCAGTGGGAGGTCCTTCACAGGGGCCCTTGTGAGTGCTTGTTCTATCCCAGAGGGTCCTTCCTCTTAGAACTCCTGCAGCTGTTCCTCTGCAGACTCTAGCTCTAATTCTACACTGATGAATACTGTACCACTTTGATGCTGTCTTCCTAGCAGGCTAGAGGTTCTGCTGGCCATTTGCTTGAGATAGTTTTCCTAGAATCCTAACTTCCTCTATTGCTTATGCATCCAACTTTTGTCTCTTTCCTTTTTTATGTCTATAACTGAAAGTGTAGCATAGATTCTGAACTCAATCTGACACTATGGCTCTGGTTCAGCAGTGCTGTTTTATTGTCTCTCACTGATAGGTAAGAACTCCCCTAACTGTACCAATATCTCTGGGTGAGGTAGACTCCGGACTCCCTCCCATTTTGCTTGTAAAATTTCTATTTTACTTTTGTAAAGAAATAATAGATTTTTGGCCCCAACCACCTATATTTGACAGCAGTAATCCATCATTCCCTGGTTCACTCCCTAGAGATTCTAGTGGACCACTCTTGTATGTCACCCACTATAGTGGGAAATTACCAATACGGAGTCAGGTAGAAATATAAGGGTATTTAATAGGGAAAAGCCTTACTTACAGAGCGACCTAGCCAGCCATCGTGGTAGCAGTCTGTACAGCAAGAAGCAAAGTGAAACCGAAAGCGCAAATGCAGTCACACTACATCACTCTGACCACGCCCTCACAAGCATGGTCAGGCACACCTGTAGCCAGCCCCTAAGTAGGCGTGGCTACAGCTTCCCCTACAACCCACCATCTTCCAGTAGTCAGAGTCAGATACTTCCTGTTGCAATGCCTTGGTCTCCAGAAGAGCCTATAAGAGTGCTTGGTTAACCTAAAGATGTTACTATAAAACCTGCTGGAGACAAAGAAGTTGGTGAGGTAGAGGCTGTGTGAAGACACACAGACAGAAGAGAACAAGGGAGAACAGCCTCTTCAACAAATGGTTCCAGTAAAATTGAATGTCCACATGTAGAAGAACAAATCTACATCCCCATCTTTCACACTGTACAAAAATGAAGTCCAAAGAGGACAAACATCTTAATGCAAAAGCATTCATATCATAATACTCTGAAACTGTAGTGGTAAAGTAGGGAAAACACTTCAAGATGTAGACATAGGCGTAGACTCTCTGAATATGATTCTGGTTGTGTGAGAACTAATGACAACAACTGACAAGTGAGAACTCCTGGAATAAAAACACTTCTGTATGCAGAGGAAGTAATGGGTCAAGTGAAGATGCATTCTACAAAATAAAAGAGTGTTTTTTTTCCAACTCTACAACTGACAGAAGATTAATACCTAGAATTCACAAAGAACAACAAAACCAAACTGACAAGAAATCAAACCACTCAATAAAGGAGAAAATGAAAAGACAGACTGTTCTCAAAAGGTGATTTATAAATGTTTAACAAAAAAAAGGAAAAGATGAAAGTCACTAGCCATAAGAGAAATGCAAATTAAAATTCTATTAATATCCTATCCATCCCTGTCAAAACAGCAGTCCTTAGGAATACAAGTAAGTAACAACACATACTAGCAAGAATGTAAGCAAAAAGGAACCCTAATCTAGTGTGGGAATGTACCTAGTCCAGCCGCTGTGGGAAGTCAGTACGGCGGTGCCTCAAAACACACACATGAAAAAACATATCTACCACATGGTCCAGCTACACCACTCCTGGGTATCACCTCGAAATCATCACAGATACAACACTTGCGCAACATATTTACAGCAGCACACTTCAAGATAGCTAAGTTATAAGGCTAAATGAAATGCCCATCACCAGAGGAGTAGATGAGCCAAATGTGGTACGTAGGCATAACAGAAATTTTTAGCTATGAAGGAAAAATGAAGTCATATCATTTACAGGAAAAATGGGTGCAACTGGAGATAGTCAGGTGAAGTGAACTAAGTCAGTCATGGAGAAACATCCCATTTTCTTTCATTGGGGGGTTGTAGACTTTATAAAGATACTTACAGTCACATACAAATATTTAAGATGAAAATAGAAGCAAAACTGTCTTGGGGAACAAAAGAGAGGAAGGAGAAGATAAGGAGGATGGAGAATATGTTCCAAGTACAGAACAGACTTGAATGAAAATGTAACCCAAAACCAAGTGAGTGAACATGTGTCAGTGAAAAAAAAATACAACCTATATTAAAACAACAGGTAAAAACCTAAATAATGACAGGCAGTGTCTCCTGTCACCCCCCCCCATTATTTCTGCAATACTGAAGAGAGCAAGAAGACAAGACCAGTTGGAGGAAGCAGAACAGGAAAGGGAGAGGTTGCCTACAACCAATAGAGTACACCATCCTCTTCTTCAGAGGCACAATGACCTCACCACCAGACATCCCTGCTGGGTGAAATGCTTTATTTGTGCTTTCAGTCTAGCAAAATGCTAGCAGGCAAAAGAGAATCATTGGTATTTAGAAGCTATAAGAAGAAAAACCAACCCTCACAATTCCAGCATTTGAGGAGAATCTTCACAGTTACGCTCTCCCCTTCTGTCACAGCCCCGTCATAGCTTCCCTGGGTTCTGTTTGCTTGCTTTGGTTTGCTTACTTACTTATTTTAACTTATTTGATTTGTTCTTCTTTTGGCAGATATCAGATAATATAAGACAAGCTACACTGCTTATTATAGTCATACCATCTTTTTTTGCTGTATATAGTTTATAAATATATCTATAAGGATAAAATGTTTGGCTAAAGACACATTCCAGAATGTTCCCATGATTTTTTCTGAGTTATGGCTCTAGAAATTGCAGGATGGATACTATGCCATTTCTATTAGAACATCATCACACAGCAAACTCACCAAGTTTTTGAGGTTGACATCAGCATTTCTTCTCAAAAGGAAGGAGACAATTCTCACGTGTCCTCGCCTGCAGGCACAGATGAGCGGAGTGTCTCCGTTGAAGCCATCTTGAACATCCACATAACGATTGTCTTCTTTTACCCACCGCCACACCTGCCCCAAGTCATTCTGGTAGGCTGCCTGGCAGATGGGCTGAGTCAAGGAGAGCAGAACAGTTCTTGAAATACAGGGATGAACCACCGAGAATAACAAAAACAAAAAACAAACAAACAAACAAACTAAAAAAATCCCACTATTCTAAGTCTAGGATATGTTCATGAAGATCTGTTTACCTTTCCCAAAATTGCTTGCCACATGGAACAGGCAGAAGAGAAGTGAATGAATGAGTAAATAAATGGGTGAAATACTGTGAATCTCATTCACTAAGGAAGTTTTTATATCATGACTGAAAATTAAAGAGATTTTCAGAAAAAAAAAAAAAGCAAAATCTGGCTAAAGCAGACTGTATTGGGGAAGGAAAGAGTTCAGGGCAACAGTGGTTAATAAAAAATCTATGTGACTTTCTCTGCATTGGGTGAAGGCACTTTCCACCAATCTTGATGATCTGAGTTCTAACCTAGGAACCCACAAGAAAGAAGTAGAGAACGGACTTCTGCAAGTTGTCCTCTGACTCTACTTGTGCACTGTAGCATAAGCATGCAAGTGCACACACAAAAATAAGCAAATATAAAAAACAAATGACGGACTCCAGACTCTTCTGCCTTTGGTTGCAGATTACCACAGTGTCTCTCCAGGGTCTAGGCCCTTGTCTCCTCTGCGGCTATGTCATTGATTCTCCCTTTTTTGTTTTTGTTTGCTGGTGTCAAATTCCTTGTGCTTTATTGGCTCTGGCCTCCCAGGATCTGCAGACTACAAGTTGCCATTGTGGGATTTGTTAGCCTCTGATTGTGTAAACTAATGTAATAAAAATCTCCTTAAAATTATGTGTGTATTCTATTGGCTCTGTGCCTCTGGAGAACTGGGTCTGCTCTGAAGAGCCTGGGAGTAGGTAACTTTGAAGGTATAATCTCTTGTCCAATATTTAAACCAGTTTACAATAGTTTACCTTCTTGCTTCTCTTTAAATTGTTATAGGTTTCATAATGCTGAACCATATTCCATATAGGACACCAGCTAACTGGTGGTTAGTGGCAGTTGTTTCCAGTTCTCCACAGTCCCACAACTCCCCATTACACCACACCTAGTCCATTTCAACCATCCATGGCCTATCTGGCTTTTACTTCCAAGATCAAAACCCCTTTTCTTTGTAACACAAAAAGTAAAAGAACCCAGAGACTGGTATTGGGGTTCAAGCTGAAGATCAGAAATGCAAAGCAGCTGGCCACTGCCTCAGGCTGAAATGGCTGATCCTATCTCCACGAGCTCTCATCAAGCCTCAGACTACTGCCTCTCCTCTGTGTGGCTGGAGAATCCTGAGACTTCAATGTCTTCCTATCCTCAATGTGACTGGGGAATGAATGCCAGTTCTGAGAGCCTATTTCTGTCTTAAATACCTCTCATGAATCCTGAGATTAAAGGAGTGTGATCCCAAGTGCTGAGGTCATCTTTGTGTGAGCTGTTTCTCTTTAGGACTGGATATATTTTGTGTAGCTCAGTGTAGCCTTGAACTAACAGAGGTCTGTCTACCCCTACCTCCCAAGTTGTGGGATTAAAGGTACCACAACTGCCTCATCTCTATAGCTTGTGGCTAACTTTGCTCTCTGAATGCTCAGGCAAGCTTTAATGAATCATAAATAACATATCACCACACTTCTTGGATTCTTTAAATTTTTTACTGAGTAAAACTAAAAAGAGAAAGACCAAGAGATGGCTAATGACCTTGAGTGAGAATTACTGGTGACTTTCTCACTCTGCACAGGGAATATTACTTAAATATGGCCTGATCTTAACTTTAGACGCTCCTATGCTTCCTGCAATCTGAACACAGTTTCTGTTTTTTGAAAAGTAAAGTATGAGAGGCCAAGGGTAGCCCAGTGTTAGAGCTGATGCTGAATGCATGCAAAACCCTGGGTTCATTTGTGTGTGTGTGTGTGTGTGTGTGTGTGTGTGTGTGTACAAAAAATAAATAAATCACTGTGATGGTTTGAATAGGAATGGCTTCCATAGGTTCATATATTTGAATGCTTAGTCACTAGTTGATGAACTGTTTACAAGAATTAGGAGGTGTGGCCTTTCTTGAACAGGTGTTGTGGGGAAGTGACAGAGAGTCCTAATCTGATGACACTGTTATTGCCTGCTCTATGCCAGTCATTTAGTGACACTCCCTCCAGAGTGCTCAGATCTGTGTAATAATTTACACATAACTCCCCCCATGATGGCTAAAGAAACTTAATATGGTACCAGGCATCCCTAAGGGCCCTGAAACACCTGAGAGATCCTAGTGGCCTGCAAGTGACATAAGACTAGGGTTCCTAACTGCTTGTTTTCTGCTTCTGTATACTTGCTGTTTAACTGCTTGCTTTTGCAGTGGAAATGGGATGGTGTGGTCTTTTTATTACTATACAAGCAGAAAGAGAAACAACTGAGGGGAGTAAAACCATTCTCTTGTGCAGGTGTGAATTTCAGAGATAATTGTAAAGTACATCTTTGCTATTCACCTTTATAACCCTCCCTTTAGCCCGCTTAGGTAGGGCATGACTTGCTCTAAGGTTCTGTCCTTCTGCTGGCAATAACAATAAATTCATTTAATTTAGGTATGGCATGATGTTTGGCTCTAAGGCTGCTGTCCTTCTGCTAGGAGTAAGAATTAATTCTTTTAATCTTAATTTGAATTGAGTCTAAGTCATCAGGCTTTTCCAGTAGATTGGAACTTTCGAGGTATGGCCCTGTTGAAAGAGCTGTATCACTGGCAATGGCTTTGAGAGTTTCTCTCTCTACCTACTGCCTACATATCACGATGTAGCTCTCAGCTACTACCCCAGAGCCATGCAACTGCCATGACGATAATGGACTGGCCCTCTGAAACTGTAAGCCACCCCTACTTAAATCTTTTCTTTTACAAGAGTTGTCACCGGCATGCTGTCTCTCCACAACAATAACACAGTGACTAAGACACTCACTGTTGTGTATGGTTCTGTTTGGTTTCCAATGAGTCAGTTTATGAAGCATGTAATGAACAAAAGAAAAAGAACAAGTATGCAAGTACCAGATAGAAGCAGAGTGTAGATAGCAAAGATGAAGTCAGGCCTTCACATCTGAGATGACTGAAGTGGGTTGATTGAAAGAACAGACCAAGGTCACGCTGTCAAATTGTAGGCTTGCAATCGTCCAGCCAAAATCAACTGTGAAAGCTGAGGCCCTCCCCTGGGGTTCCCAACTGAGATCTCTCCATGAGTGAGCCTCCCTTGCTGAACTTACAGTTTCCGCTTGTTTCTTGCCTACCCAAAGGCATTTTACACCACGGGGATAAACAACAGTAACTTCTGGTGGAAAACACTTCTGGTGGAAACAACTCCCTGCTGTTTTACACTGTTTCCAGTAGGAGGCAGCTCAGTGTCAGAAAAGCACACAGGCAGTGGAGAGCATTCCACCAGGGCAGTAGTAGTGGCCTGTCAGTACCTGCTAGTGTTCTACGGCATTGAAGGGTGGCTACAGTTCTGAACAATTTGTTATACATTTTAAAAGTAAATAGAAAAGAGGGCTTCGGAGATTCCCAACATAAAGAAATGATAAATGTGTAGAGATGGAGTAGACACCCTGATTTGGTCACTATTCATTGCTCAATAGTCAATGTTTCCTACTGTACTTCTTAAATATGCAGTTTATGGTAGGTTAAAAAAATAAAATAAAGTTCTAACAAAGTAGAAAGTAAACAAGAAGAGGAAGGCATCCATTTGGGCAGAAAAGCTGTTCTGGATTATTGAGGTTCATGGAACTAGAGGTGCTTTAGATTACAGTAGTCACACCTGGAAAATTACCTCTAAAACTAAAATTCTCTGTATGCCTAGCACCAACGCTTCAGGGCTCATTCAGGGCTCAGATCCTCATTGCTCTCTGCCTGTGACTGTGTTACCTCTCTGCGTCTCACCTACCCATTCTCCTGTTCATCCTCCCCACCCGTAGCTACTCATCACATTCCTGCTGAAGACCCTCCACCATGACCAATTGGATCAGGATGCCATCCTTAACTAGATACAGGTGCTTCTCGGTTCTTACAAATCCTGTCTTTCTAACAACCCCTACACAACCTTTTGGTCCAAGTACACAAATCATGTTTGCTATGGTTTCAATGTATCCTTCACAGTTTCTGTATTAGAAATATGATCCCCAGTGTGGCAGTTTGAAGGTAATTGGCCCCTATAATCTCATAGGGAGTGGCACTATTAAGAGGTGTGGCTTTGTTGGAGTGGGTATGGCCTTGTTGGAGGAAGTGTGTCACTGCAGGGGCGAGCTTTGAGAGTTCCTACACTCAGGATACCACTGAGCATCACAGTCAACTTCCTGTTGCCTGCAGGATGTAGGACTCGCAGTTATTTCTCCAGCACCACATCTGCCTACACGCCACCATGCTCTCCACCATGATGACAATGGACTGAGCCTCTGAAACTGTAAGCAAGCCACCACAAGTAAATGTTTTTTCTTTATAAGAATTGCTATAGTCATGGTGTCTCTTCACAGCAATAGAAACCCTAAGATACCCAGTGTGGTGATGCTGTGTGATGGGCACAAATACCAGGTTTTGGGATCTCTAGGATACGATTCTCATGAATGCATTGCTTATTTGGCAGTGGATTCCTTATATTTTAAAAGGATAAGTCTGCTTCTGGTTTGTTCCCTGGCCACCCTATTTTTGCCTTTCTTCCATGGAACAATGGAATCCTAACCAAGTACAATGGAACCCTCACCAAGTTCTGACCCACAATCTTACACTTCTCTCTTTATCTAATGGTGAGTCAATACATTATAAATTGCTGATCTGTAATTCCCACATCACCTAAAAACAGACCATCGGTGTTATTGGCAGTCATCTTTCTCCAACTGGCCTGTCAGAAACAAAAGAGCACTTATTGTTGTCTACACTTTCTCATTCTCATTGCATTCCAGCTCCCAGCACAGCGTGCGATACCCCATAGCCATGCAACATATACTTCATGAGTAAATAAACCAATGAGTGATTTCTAAAATGAAGAAACATTTATGGAATGCCTCAGCTATTCCC